TGTTAATTTCCCCCCCTTTTCTGGGAACATTGTTGTTAATTTCCCCCCCTTTTCTGGAAACATAGTTGAGAAGAGATTCCCAGGAAGTTTCTTTCGGAGCTGGAATTCTTATGGCCCCTTCTCCTCTTGCTATCTCTCCAAGAGGTGACAAGTTTCCAGGCATCTGGGGGTTCCAGCCCACAGTTGTAAATAGTGTAAAGGTCATACAGATTCAATATAAGAATTTGGATATTCAGGTTACATCAAAAAGGATTACTTGTATCCACCCCATCCCCTTCTTCCGTTGACGAATGGCAGATACACGGATCTGACAAATACTTTCTTAAAAACATTTCAGACTTTTTTTAAAAAAAGAATTTGTCCCTAAATATTAAATAAAGTCTCACATTTGTGTTCCTTTATACATTTGTTGAATAAATCCCTATTTAATTAGGATAAACCTGAAATTTATTGGTATGGGGTGTTGCAGTGGTTAGAGGAGTATAGTTTTACAGGCTTACTCTGATCACAGCCAGGAGTTCAATCCTGATGGCTCAAGATTGACTCAGCCTTCCATCTTTCTAAGATCAGTAAAATGAGAATCCAGAGTCTTGAGGGCAATATGCTGACATTGTAAATAACTCAGAGAGTGTTGTAAAACATTGTAAAATGGTATATACTGTAAGTCTAGGTGTTATTGCTATTGCTAATCCTGAAAGTTAATTCATGGCAATATTTTATCACGATTTTGTGTAATGAAATGAAGATCTAAATTTAATTGAACCACAGGGATACAATAATTGTAAGAAACTATGAATTAATGTTATCTTGGTTGGTATAGATTTTTTGAAAATCAGAATTCATTGACTTATTGATTATGTTATTTGCTTATTTAATATTATTTGTATAGCTGCTCCTCTCAAAGTAGCGGTTAGTAGAAAATATTTTATGTTTTAAAACATAAAAATCCACAGAACAAATTAATAATAATAAAACTCATCTGCCAGAAAACTAATGCTGATTTTTAGAAACATTACAATCTATCCCTAAACTGTTCCTTCAAGTCCTCCAATTTTCATAATAACTAAGTCATTGTCTTCTCTTTCCTTTCCTCTTTCTTTCTTGGCATTAAAACCTTCTCCAGAATGCTAGCATCTTAGTGCAATGGGTCTAAGGTAAAATAATTTGAAATGATAATAATTTGAATGTACCTCAAATGAGAACTCAGGATTGGTTTGTTTAAGGACCTTTTTGTTTGTTTTTTTGATTGTCCATGGCATTCTCAAAAATCTTCTCCCACACCAAATTTCAAAAGCATTGATATTTTTATATCCTGTTTCTTCACAATTCAATTTTTACTTTCATAAAGTGTCATAAGAAAAACATTTCTGATCTTGTAGGTAGAGACACAATATTGCATGTGAATAGTATTTCCAAGGCCTTCGTGGCTGATCTATCAAGTGTTAGTCTGATACATATTTCTTGAGTTCATGTTTCTCTATTGATAATGGTTGATCCTAAAAAGATGAAGACATTTACCAGTTTGATACCTTTATTGTCAATTTAATGTCATTAGTTTTTTTTTTTTTTTAAATTTTGGTTCCAATTTTTCACTATACTCTTTGATTTTTATTACTAATGATGTTACTTTCTCCAATTTAAAACCTCATCTTCTTCTAGGTCAGTGGTGGCTAACCTTTTTGGGCTCCTGTGCCAAAAATTGTGTGCTCGCTTGCGCTAGCGTGCTTGTGTGCCAGCACCCAGAAGACAATGTGTGTGCCCCTCTATGGCCCCTGCGCATGTGCATGCAATCCCCCTGTTCCCTTACCTGCACTGCGCATGCACGTGACTCCCAGATGATTTTTGGCCCATTTGAGGCCTTTTTCGGCCTTCCAGAGGCTCGAGGGAAGCCTCTGCAGCCTTTGAAGGCCAAAAAATGGGCCCATTTCAGCACTTGTGGTGATGAAATAGTCCTGTTTTTCAGCCTCCAAAGGCTGCAGAGGCATCCCTCGAGCCTCTGGGATGCTGAAAAAGGCCTCAAATGGGCCGAAAATCATGTGGGAGGCACCCACATACACAATGCAGGTAAGTTTGGTTGGGGGTCACAGGACCACACAAATGGCTCTGCATGCCAACTGTGGCACGTGTGCCATAGGTTCACCATCACAGTTCTAGGTTGATTTATTCTTGGTTTCATGGCATTGAATTTTACTATGCATTTTATGCAGAGTTGTTTGATTAATGTATGCTGTGAATGTGTTTAGTTAATTATGAATTAAAGGGCAATAATATAGGTCACAAAATATAAGCTAGTGTCATTTAGGTTGTTGCAATTGCATATGAAATTGGAATGCAGAGGTTGATTATAGTTGCATGTTATGCTCCAGTGAATGGTGACAATTGAAAAGTCAGAGATGTGTTTGGGGAAAATTGTTTAACACTCTTAATCAGAGCTACTCAGAAGATGCATTATTCCCTATGTAACACAAAAGGATGGGTGGAAATTAGAAGAGAGAGTTCCAAAACCCAAATAGGTGCACTTTGCACTCATTAATTGATGGTTGGCTGAACTTAATAAAAATGCATTATGATAAAAACAGCACACCTAATAAAAAGAAATGATTCAGTCTGTATAAGAATAAAGATAAGTTGTACAATATTCATTTTGGTTATTTAATATTTTTATGGATAATGTCTGGGAAATGCTTATTGTGTATTGGAGTTATGAGCAAGTAATATAGTTGTTATCAAGCAGAACCTTCATGCTATGTTGGTAACATATGAAAATTTTTTCACAAGTTAAAACTTATTCTGTAGATAATAATTTTTCTTTTTCATATATTTAGGCACAACCTCTTTCACTATGCAGTGAGAATTGCAAACCTGGTACAAGAAAGAAAGTGAAAGAAGGCGAGCCGTTTTGTTGCTACATCTGCATCCCATGTCCTGAAGGAAAAATTTCAGAGGAGCAGGGTAAAAAGAGAGAGGGGGGAGGAGGGGGGGAGGGAGAGAGAGAGAGAGAGAGAGAATAATTATACTATCTACACTGGTACACTGCTAATTGCTGCATGTATGGGGAGGAGTTCTTTGTACAGTCATGTTTGTACCTCTAAGCAATAAAATATGCTTTTAAAAAGACTTATTTTAAAAGTATGTGTTTTCTCCCTTTTATTTAAATGGAACACCATAAAAGAAACTGCCTCCTCAAAATAGTCATTTAGGGTCAAACTTAAGACACATGTATCTGCAAATTCTGTGTCATGTAGTAGTTAACCAAATACATTTAGAAAACTCTGATGAACAATTCAATTTTTTTAAAAAAACTGCTATTTTTCTCCCTAGCGATTGATTTTAAAGACATGGGTCAATGATTTAAGAGATAGCAAGCTGTCAAGATACTTGACATTGATTATCTAATTTTTCATGAGTTTCAGAACTGTCTATATTGGTAGTCACAGAAACATCTGATACAAACAGATTCCAAATTTAGCTATCTGTTGTGTATCAAAATCTATTTTATTTATTATTGATGTATATCCCTGCAACTTTTAATATTCAGAGAGGGGAAAAAGCTTCTGACGCTCTCCTATCATGTACAATTTTATCTATCCCTATCATGTCCTTCCTTATCTATCTTTGTTCTGAGTTACTATAGTTTTCCCTTGCAGAGAGTTTGTTCAGACTCCTAAGGTGATCCTATTTTGCATCTTTTTTTAGTCCTATAATATCACTTTTACAGGTGTACTAATGAAAACTATACAGAATTACATAAAGCTCATTATAGATTAATAATGGCATTTACGGCATCAGTGCTTTTAATTTTAATCCCCTTCCCCCTGAGTTTCACCTCTTACTTGACAATCATAATGTTCTACTATGCTCAGAATAGGTTTTCCTGTTCAGATGCTGAGAGTTTAGACTCTCAGTTATATATAAAAACTCCTATGTGTTATTTTGCACTTGCACTTGTTTGTATATGTTAAATATTTTATTTTAACAATCAATTATAATAATAAGGGATTGTCTATTCCAAAATTAACTTTATTTCTCTCACTATCTGAACCATTAACTAAAACCCATGATCCACTGAGCCTGGAAACTATGGGAAATACAGTGCAACAATAGAGTGCTGAGCTGTACCTCTGCTGAGCCATCAACTGACAATAGCAAAACCAAGTACCAAAACCAAGTACCCGGGCAGGAGTAATTGATCAGACAAAGAACATGTTCAGTCACTCTTCCCTGCACCCAAAAATAAGCTGCCCAGATATCAAGCACACAACAGAAGACAAGTCAACAGACATTTGGAAGGACAATTAAGATTCACTTGTTGAGACACACTAGAAAATCCACGTAGGCAACCCACATTCCTCCAAGCCCACATTGGACCAGCCCATGCCCCATAAGCCCCATCAGTGCCTCTTTTCAAAATCTTAGAATCTCATTTTTCTCTCTGTAGCTACAAATTCCTTTACTGTTGGGAAATCAACCGATCAACCTCCTTTCCATCAGAAATGTGCCTCATGTCTTATTTGCCTGCATTTTCCCAGTTCAAAGAAAGGGACCCAGGAAAATTCTTTCAACATCTTTTAATTGGCATTTATAATGTTGTATTATGCTCAGAATAGGTTTTCCTGATCAGATGCTTAGATCAAAAATATTCTATGCAAAAACTGTCTTTCAAGGCCATATGTGTTATTTTACATTTCTTTATATATGTTCAATTTTATGGTATATTCATCTAGATTTGAGAGATCACCTAACAATCCTTTTATTGCTGTCAGAATAACCTAGCAGGCCTATCAAATGTGGTGACTTCTTTGTTGTTGCTTTTTTAATACTTAACAATTGAAAATGGAATGTGTCCTCTTAGTCTATCACTCCTCAATAAATTTATAAACTTTTAGTAAAGGCTTTTTGAAAGTTCAAGGCTTTAAATTGTCCCTTTAAAAAATCTAGAATTAGCTCAAGATTATTCAGTAACCTGTTCATCATGTGAAATAATTTTCAATGTTGAAACAAAAGCTGTTTTTGCTCATTTGTGATGATAATAGTAGTGTATATTTGCTAACTATGTGAAACAATTCCATATTTCAGATATGAATGACTGCTACAACTGTGAAGCTGAAAAATATCCAAGCAAGAGTCAAGATTTCTGTATTCCTAAAACTGTAACCTACTTATCTTATGAGGAATATATGGGGATCACTTTAGCTTTCCTTGCCCTTTTATTTTCTTTGGTGACAGCTTTGATGCTTGGAGCATTTATAAAACATCACAACACTCCCATTGTCAAGGCCAATAATAGGAACCTCACCTACACTCTCCTTTTCTCTCTTCTGCTGTGTTTTCTTACTGCACTATTGTTCATTGGCTGCCCCCAGAAGGTGACATGTCTCCTCCGACAAATTACTTTTGGCATTGTGTTCTCAGTGGCTCTTTCTTGTCTGCTGGCCAAAACAATCACTGTGGTTTTGGCATTCATGGCCACGAAACCAGGATCTAGGTTGAGAAAGTTGGTGGGAAAGAAACTGGCCAATTCTATTGTAATTTCCTGTTCTCTCATTCAAATACACATCTGTGCCATATGGTTGATAAACTCCCCTTCATTCCCAAATGCTGACATCCATTCAATGTCTAAAAAAATTGTATTGGAATGTGATGAAGGGTCTGCACTCATGTTTTACTGTGTGTTGGGCTACCTGGGCTTCTTGGCTATTGCCTGTTTCACTGTGGCTTTTTTTGCCAGAAAGTTACCTGATAGTTTCAATGAAGCAAAGTTCATCACTTTCAGCATGTTGGTCTTCTGTAGTGTTTGGTTAGCCTTTGTTCCTTCCTATCTGAGCTCCACGGAAAAATACTCAGTAGCTGTGGAGGCGTTTTCTATTTTATCTTCCAGTGCTGGAATGCTAGGTTGCATTTTTCTCCCCAAATTTTACATTATTGTTCTGAGGCCTCAAATAAACCACAGGGACATGCTAAGAAGAATATGAAAGAAAGACTGACTTTTAGAAATACAATTGTCATTTTGAAGAGATCTCAATTTATAGGATTGTTAATTCCATAAATAATTATTCCAGCCACGTATTAATTGAAGGTTCAAAATAATCATAAATTTAGTTATTTTATGGCAGAATTCTACAAATGAGTTTGCTTGCTTTTAAATTTTTGGTTTGCACGAACTGTTTCTCAGCAAAAGTAATCACACTGTATTTGTATTTCTTCCCTGACTGATTATTTAATTAATTAATCTCATTTACTTGGCTCTAATAAGCATCAACAAAAATAGGAGAATGGAGAAATAAGGAACTGCAGAAATTAAACTAGTATTAGGTTTCCTTTGGAATACATACTTCACAGAATTATACTTAATAAATCTATGGCTGTCCACTACTATCACTGTAATATTCTGGATGTTTACACCATAATTTTTCCTATCATTTCTTTACATGCATCAAAACAGCTCTTCTTTGAATAATCACATTAATAGGTACAAGCTACAGGAAATGTTCCATGGTCCTTAGGTTCATTACTTCAAGAGTGACTAATGCTGTAGGTTGATTGTTCATTATGTTTAAAATTTACTTGGGTTTTATATTTTTGTCTTTGACCGTATTGCATTCTATCTAGAATCTGCCTAGATTTGGTCTGGTTATTGTAAAGTAATAAATTATAAAAATATTATTATTTATTTTTCTCACTTCTCTCTCTCCCTCTCCCTCTCCCTCCCTCCCTCTTTCTCTCTCCCTCCAACACTAGATTTATTTCCTGTTACATGAATCAGAAAAGAGTGGAAAAATTCTAAATCAATAGCAAGGTTGGGTAAGGACCAATTATTGGAACTGCAGTTAAAGAGAAATCAATTGGCCACATTGGCAAATGTTGGTCTTGATAACTGCAATATCTTCCAGACTGGTTTGTTCCTGACAGAATTATTTTTGATAATTCTGGACTTTTGAAGAATAATTTCTGAGCTCAGGTCAAAACAATGGTGCTTACCTATAAAAATACAAACATGCCAAACCATTTTATTCCTTTTTTGGAGTGAAGATTGAGATTAATGATGGAGGCTTTTCTAACTGGGATGCAGTGGTGGGATTCAATTTTTTTTACTACCAGTTCTGTGGGTGTGGCTTGGTGAGTGTGGCAGGGAAAGGATACTGTAAAATCTTCAGTCAGAGGTGGTATCTTCTGGTTCTCTGAACTACTCAAAATTTCCATGGTTCTCCAGAATTGGTCAGAACTTGCTGAATACCACCTCTGCTGAGATGTCACAATTAGTGATATGCTTCTTAAAGAAGAGCACAGATTATCAGTACCCTTTTGTTTTTCATATTTATTAAATCAAGTATTTTAAGAATTGATATTTATTTTCTTAGAATTCTTTTAAAAAGCACAATCAATTTCTAAAATAGTTGATATATTGCATTTGAAAGACTCTGAAAAAAATGTCATCATTTATAGAGAGGTTGGAGGATTAGAAGATACTGTAGCTCTTTAAATAAATATATTTTTCTGCAGTCATACAGTGGTTTTCTTTCAACTATGTTAAGAATGCAAGTTTAAGTATGCTGCTTATTAAATATTACTATTTTCTCTCTCTTTCTTCTCTCTGGTAGACAGTTATAGACTTCAGGATAGGCAGAAACATTTGTCACTTCATTGTCTAAGCATGCACTCAACCACATGAACCTTATATGTGGGCTCAAAAAGATGTGATTTAGGAAGACCATGCCTTTTTCTTCCCATTCTTTCTTTTTTGAAAGAATCTGTTGGACATTTTGTATTTATAACTTCTGATCCCTTCTGCTTTGGATTTTTGATAGTCTCATATCACAACACAGATAAAAATCTATTGTTCCTCTTATCACATCTCCTGACATGACCAGACTAATCAGATGCTTACATCCACTCAGTTTTCAAAAAACAAAAACAAAAACACCCTCACTTTAGGATTCTTATCCTTTGAATTTGATTACTGTCCAGCCATAGTCTCTTTCTGAAAGCACTTTATCAACTGTATTTATCCTCAGCACATTACCCACAATCAGATGTTAAAAGGAACAAATATTTGCCTAGTATATAAACTGTCAGAACAACTTTGATATTCAATGAGAAAAAAAAGAGTAGTGTGATCCCATAGATCTTTCAGCCCCTGCTCATATTAACTTTCTAGTAAAACTAGCAAAGTTGGGATGTAATGTGTTTTTTTATTTTTTATTTTTTTTATTTCCTATGTGCTGGCCAAAACCATGATAGAGATCCTGGTTTTCAAAACAACCAAGCCAGGAAGGAAGATGAAGCAGCAAGTAGGAAAAGGACTGACTTATTCTATATTTTAATATGGCTTCTTAATTCAAGTTGGTATTTTTATTATGTGGTTGTTCATTTTTTATTGCAATCTCTCTGCACATCAAGACACCCGATGACTGTGGAGATTGTTTCAGTTATCCTCAAGTGCTGTGCTGAAGACAGTATCTGTTCCCCCATATGTTACATTATTATTTGGATATCAGAGCTGAACAATCTATGAAAATTATTTTGGGCACAAATTTAGTAGTTTTAGCCATTTATTAAAGTATCACTGACAAAAGTGCATATGGTTTTGGAGGATCTTGGAGAATTTAAAGTGGTGTTCAAGAAAATATCAAGAAAAATTAGTCTATGTTATATTGTTAAATTTCTCTCAAGGAGAATTTAATCATAGTATTTCTAAAAATATATCGAACTCTTAATGAAAATGAAGACAAGATGAACAAGTTAACCAGAAGTTAACTTGTTAGCAACAAGTTAACAAGAAGAATTAAGCTCCTTCTCTGGTAATAATGTACCGCTAACTAGAGCGTACAAAACATTTGCTAGACCAATTTTCAAACACAGTTCATCTGTTTGAATCCGCACTGCATATCAGGCATTAAAACAATTGAGAGAATCCAGAGATATTTCATGAGAAGAGTCCTCCATTCTTCTGCTTGTAACAGAATACCTTATACCACCAGACTTGAAATTTTGGGTTTAGACAACTTAGAACTATGCCACCTTCGATCTGACCTAAGCATAGTACATAAAATTATCTGCTAGAATATCCTACCTGTCAATGACTACTTCAGCTTCAACCACAACAACACACGAGCACACAATAGATACAAACTCGATTGCAGAAAATACTTCAGCAACAGAGTTGTCAATGCCTGCAATGCACTACCTGACTGTGGTCTCTTCCACAAAACCCCAAAACTTTAACCTTAGACTGTCTACTCTTGACCTCATCCCATTCCTAAGAGGTCTGTAAGGGGTGTGCATAAGAGCACCTACCATCCTGTCCTAATGTCCCCTGTTATTTGTATCCTTTTCATGTACTCTTAATCATGTTTCCAATTATATCTGTTATCAAAAACATGCTTGACAAAATAAATAAAATAAATTGTTTGATAAAATGGGCAAAAAACTTTGGATATAATATTCACTCTGAATGATGGGTGAAGAATGAAAAATAGATAGATAGATAGAGATATATCTATATGGATATTCCACATGGAATTCCACTTCTGAATAAGAAACAATTCCCATTACTTCAATTAGTATAATATCTATAATTAAATGAGCTGATGTAAAATTGCAGAGATCAATTTTTTAGAAACAATCAATGGAATATTGAATATAAGCTCTGGTGTTCGAGGTAGGGATAGGGATATGTGTTTGTTTGTCTTTGAGGGAGATGGGTGCTGAAAAATATGACATATAAATCCATAAATATTCAATATTCAATATTTGGAGATACTGGCCAGAAGACTTTATTCATTTAATATGGGAATAATAATAAGTATAAATCATTCTACTTGTATACTGCTAAATTAATTGATATTCTAATGATCTCTTTGTGGATAAAAAGAAAAACTTGCAGAAAGGAAATTTTAACACTTAAATTCAGGCTGTTAGTAGGAGCACTATGCCTGTTAACTCTGCTTCCATACATGGCATATGAAGCTCATTCAGTGCAATGTAATGTATGGTATCCAGAACACCCACTTCATAGTTATCATCATTCTGGAGACCTCATAATTGGTGGCATTGCATCTCATGGAATCTTCCTCTCCTATGCCAAAGATTTCATAAAGGAACCTCCAACAGTTATGCCTGAAGAACTTACGTAAGGAATTCACTTTTCTTTGTTATCTTCTTTATCCTTAGTGGGCTGTCAAATTACATTGTGGGAAGATATATTAGTATAATTAAAGGAACTTTGGCTATGCAGGAAGCTGTGGTTTTTAGATTTACACATAAATTTGATTTTCCCCTGTGGAGAAGAAAATAGTTTAGCATTTTTTTAAAAAATGTTGCATGCAGGAAATATATGTTCACCATTATTTACTCCCAAGCTTCTGATATTGTATGTTTAAGCAATGTTTTCACCACAGAGTGGATCGGCAAGGATAAATCATAATTTTGATTTATCCTCCTAATTTTTGGAACATAATATTTTTCATTGTGATTCTTTCCCCTTTGTCTTTGGCATTTACTTGTCCTATTCAGTTTATTTTCATTCTTAATCTCTATTCCTTTAGACAGATTTCTTACTTCTTTATCTATGTAGCAGGATACATTTTTTCTTCAGGTTTAAAATGTAGTACCATTCAATTCAGCACCCAAACATTCAACCCTCTTCAGTTTTGCAATAAACAGGTTCATTCTGCTTGATTTTACTTCATTTTTCATCATTTTTCATCAATATTTATTTTAAAAAGTCACTTTGGGGATATTAATTATTACATATAAAAGAATAAGAATTTGAGCACATGATATTTTACAGTATGAGGAATATATATCTCAAAGTGCCATGCATATATTAAATAAAAATGAATATGATAGGAAAAGATGCATTAAATTTTAGAATTGTAAATTGTTACCTGACATTGCAATACTCATTCTAGAATATTTTCAATGAATTACCAGCACATCCTGGCTTTGGCCTTTGCAGCAAAAGAGATAAATG